CATGAGAATGGTGCTGAACAAAGGCTTAAATCCAATTATTCCTACACAAAATGAACAGAGCCCCATGGGGTGCTTCCCCTACTTGACTGCAAAACCTGAGCCACTCTGCCAGGATACTTTCTAAGTTCAATAACACAGGACAACACCCAACTTCTAGTTAGTAGGGCTTGCTCTCATCAAGGTGCTGCATTTGAAATGCAAAGGTCTCACTGAGCCTCACAACAGAAAGCTTTTATTGGACATATGTCTCTGACGACCATTCCTGAGTCCGTGTAGAAAGCACCAAGTTAACATGATGCCCAAAGGAGTACAAAGCCTAACCCAGTGGCACAAAGAGGATGGGGATGAAAAAATTATCTCCAAAAAGAAAAAGGCAGGCAGGAATGTTTAAAGTGGAACTGCAACTAAATAAAGGATACACAGATCCATATACAACACATTTGRAACAAATTTGKTTTTTCTTATTCTGACAATTTTTTYTCTAAACATTAAGGCAATGCCTAAAGAAAGAGCCTACGAGGCTCCACTGTACTGGGAGTGCTGCAGATCTCATGCAGCAGCATGTCAGGAGGTGATTTATTGTAAATCATCTGTGGCAAGTGATGAATTACTTCATGTTCTGCTTACAGCCTGCAGAGGAAATGAAGCCCAAGGAACCACTCTGACCTCCAGCTGCATCCAGACYRGCTACAGAGGCCTYTGACAGACATATGSATCAAAGAGACGYGYTAATCTGGCAGTCACTAGTTCCTACTTTAAAAAASCAACACAGCCACGTACTTTTCACGCACAAATTAACTAGTCACAAAGGAGCTAAGAGGTCTGGAGGTTATTCACTCATAACCTGAAAAACCACAAGCCATCCAGAGGCACGGCTCACTGTGTCTGTGTTCTAATGTTTTAGAATAGCATGGTACTTCCTATCCTCAAAACACATAAGGTGGGCATAAATAAAATACACTATTATGAGAAATCAACAGTAAGAGGATCTTGTATCAACAACTTCAAAGTCAACTGGACAAAACCCACAGCAGAAACGTCTGGTCCCAACAGCCAGACCAACTGCATAAACCATAAGCCAGAAAGCCCTCCTTGCTGTAGTTGACCCAGGCTGAAGGTGAGAGATGCCAGATTGTCTCTGTTAGCCACCTGTCATTCTGAGATACTTTAGATTCACTTAATACTTGTATTTATTTCAGTAACTGTTATCAAACAGAAAAAACCCCACACAGTTTTTCRCTATTTGAGTTGAGAAGTAATGAATTGATGTTTGAAAAGAGTGAAGATTGCATGTATAGCTTAAATGACAGATATTATCAATATCTGATCAAAACAATTTGTAACATATGTAAAATGAAAGTTGGTTTCCCAGATGAAGCTTTACATTATACTTTCAATGCACTTTGAGAAYATACAATTATTTCAGGACAAAGTTAAAGTTACTATGACATTATAGAAGCCACTTTTTACAGTTAATCACCCCATACAACATCCTTGATAAGAATATAATTACATTTGCAAAACAAAGAAGTACACAAAAATAAGAGGGGGACGAATTACGAAGTTGCCAGGTCAACCATGACTTCCTATGATTCAGTAACAGTAAATTCCACTCACAGCTTTCCAAGGGCCCCCTGCTTTTAGCACAGGACACGGACGTTTTGACACAAAGAAGCAAAGTGTGTGGCCTTGGGATGGTGTTTCAGGGCACGGGGAGTGAAGAACTTTCTGAGAGTCCCAGCAACACCAGTCATTCAGGAGGGGCAGGATCAGACAGGTGCTGCCTAGAGCCCACCCAGAGGAAAGGTGGAAACAGGGAACAGCCTCCAGATACTTCACTCAAGGCTCCACCACCTGAGATGTAACTTGGTTAGACAGGATGGTCCAAATTCACTTGTCAACCCTGCAAACCCTCTGCTCCCAGACCCACAGTCCCTGGACAGAAATGGCTGGATCACCCATCTGACCTCAGCCTGAGCTATGCCACTTTTAAGATGGCAAACCCCAAAAAATGTTAGTTTGGTTTAACTTGCATATAAACACCAGAGTCAGTATAAAGAAGGATTCAGAACCAAGCAATAGGAAGTAGAAACATGAAGGAGAGAGAAATGGGAAGCAGAACTGCTCATTCAGGCTCACTACAACACAAGTAATCCTTTTGAGAACAGATATCCAACAGAGGAGGCACAAAAATCAAAAGGGTCCCTTTGTGTGAAAGCCTGGTCATGACCCCTGCTCCCAAAATTATTCATAAACTTTATCCAACAGTTCTTAAAATACAACACATGAGCAGGACATGGACTAGAGCTCTGCACCACTCACACTTGATTCTGAAAACAGAAGGACCACATTTCTTGCACAGTTTTCTAGGTTCTTTCACTAGAGCACCACTGCAAGCATTAGCTTAATTTACTTTGTCAAATCAGCCATCCTGTACAGGTGGCAGACCAAGGGCACAGAGAGGTTAATGTCAAAAACATCCACCAGTGACTTCTCCAAGGACTTTGCATAGGACATTTTACTCAAAGGTAGCAGTCTTTACCTTCCAACACACCCCAACACTCAGCATTTCTGCAGCTCAGCTCAGAGCATCCCAACAGCCCCATCTCCACCTTCTTCACTGCTTACTGGTCACAGTTTCCCTCAATTCCCTCRAATCTGCTGGTCCATCTAGGATCCTTGCTGCCTTCCTCACTACAGACAAAAATACAGAKAAGGACTGGGGGGCTTGCTTGCCTCTAAAAGGCAACTGCACTGTTCTCACTGAACTTTTTTTTTTTTTCAGCATCAACATACTGAAAAATCAGCTTAAGACAGGCACAGCGAACAGGAAATCCCAAAACAAATAGTTGGGAGGTTTAGAGATAAGCAACAGAAAACTGGATCTCAGAATGGGAAATGTTGGACAGTCTAAAAGTATGCAATGCTTCCTGGCCTGCCCAAAAGAAGTGTGATAGCCTCATTATATGGTCTGCAAAATTGATTGACTTCTTGAGTATTCATTTCCTAGTCTCTAAATATTTGGGTTTTGAAGACAAAGAGGCAAGTAATCTTATTGTTCTCTGTGGAGGATCATAATTGTGTTTATGACAAAGAGAAAGTCTGTTGCTGGTATAAGTTAGCACAGATTTAACACAGAAAGGCCAGCTGAGCCAGAGAACAGCCTGGTCTGAAGGACTGTCCCTCTCCTTTTWTCATTGCTTAGAATTTCAGGGATATTAAATCTGTCAGACCTCCGCAAATGGAAGGTGTGCTGTGTTTTCATCAGTCTCAGTCCTTGGGGTTTCTGCAAGTGCACCCAGCTATTTGACAACCATTTTATGAGTCTTAAGAAAATAAAACAAATATTTTGCATAATTGAGGCACGTGTGCAATATTGAATGAGAATCCACATGGAGCTTTGTTTACATTCAGAGTTATCCAGGAAGGTGGATGTGTTCCCTAGATGCTATASCTGGAGAGGGACAATCTGTTCTATACATGATAGCAAACCTCAGGGMAAGTGCAGAGCCAGCAGCCCAGTGCCTTGTGCCCACTGGTGAGGGGACCAGCTGCCTCCACAACTCCTCCAAACCTTAACCCTAATCCAGCCCTAACCCTAAGCAAAGAGCTGCCTCCCCAAAAMAGCTCTTTGGCTCTGGGCCTCTGCACAAGGCAAGGGCTGTGTRGCTGCACTCAGGAGCAGAGCTCTGGAGCACAAGTACATAGAAGGGATGCTGGGAGCAAACTCACACACAGCTAGGTGGGAGCAGGGGAACACAACCTGCCAAGGCACCACGCTAAGAAGCCACTTGGCAGCATAAATGCATCCCATTTTCAAGCATTATATGAAACCTGCTACAAAGTCAGAGTCACACTTCATCGAGCAGTTTTGTTTGAAGCTCATAAGTTAGGAAATTTTGTAAATTAATGTACAAGGCAAGAATAGCTATTACAAGAGATTACTTTAGAGCTTTTGGAGCTGTTTAATTCTACACTCTGAGAAAAAAAGACTCTTTCCCCTACTGGAAATATCAGAATACCATTTTCTATAAGCAAAGTTGCCCAGAGCAACAACAGAAACTCTTGGAGAGCCTGGTCTGAAAGGATCTCAGCACTGTCATGGAGGGTCAGACACACCCCACACATTCTCTTTCAGAACTGCATCAAATTTTGGGGAAAAGTGGCCAGTTTGGAAAACATGCACATCATGCTCCAACTGAAAGGAGCTGTGAAAGTTCATTTATACCCTGGGTTCTTTTCCAGTGCCTATGTGGAAGGCGGAATTTGCAAATTGAAGTCCTCTCTACACTTACTGCCTACTTGGAAGCATGCCAACAAGTTTTCTTGAAATCTGGCAGTTGTTACCAAATGAAAAGCATTGAGTGCTGGACAGACAGCCCCAGCTCCCYACTAAAGCAGGCTCCCATCAAGACCTGTTTTCGTGGGAAAGCCTACTCCTCATCTGAGATACAACCAATACAGACTCCACATGACTCCATGCCCTGGAGACAGGGAGCAAATACTCTGAGATTCCGCCTTTTGTCCCATGGAGGATTGCCCTCTTTAGGAACCAGTGATTGGGAGGACAACAAAGGCTGCTGAGAGATGGGAAAGGGAGAGGTGGAAGAATCAGTTATCAATGAACTGCTAAGACAAAGTCCAATATTTGGTCCCAGAAAAAGAGTAATTATTTATACTTATTAAAGTAATTATTACTACCCTCTGTTATAAGGGACTCATTTATACCACAAGCAAACAGTCTACAGGAGCACCAGCAGGAAAGGATCAAGCTCAAAGGTGAAAATGCATGTCAGGACCTATTTTATTTTCGCATGGGTTTCAGTTTCTTTTTTTGTTTGTATTTAAATAAAGGCTACATTTCTGCCAGGTGGAACACATTATTCCACACTGCATCATTCAAAACACAATGCATCACTTTGCACATGTAATTGTTTCCCCCACACATTTTCCCATATTTGTTTGATGAACCAAATCCATCAAAAGTTTGGTTCTCTTACCTTTATCACTTCTGGGGCCTGCTGAATTGAAGGTAGAACAGAGTCTCTGGAGGCAGCCCCAGCATGGCTTTTTTGCCCGGCAAGAAGGGACTGTGAAGGAGTTGCTAAAGTTTCCTGGAGAATTTGCATCACTTCCCTCTCCTTGGACAAACTTCCCTTGCCTGTTTGGAATTCCACCAGTTCCTGGGCAAAGTCCTCAATGCTTCCCAGGATACGCAGTAAAAGGGCTTTGTCATCCTCTTCCATTTTATGACCGTTGGTTTCCATGATTTTTGTCAAAGAAGCAGTGGGGTCAGTGGGTTTACTTTTGGGTTCAGGAGCCAGAGGTAGAGTCTGCCTACCCTGCCTGCCACACACCTGCAGAGAGGCAGGTTTGCCTTCCTTCTGAGAGGGCTCCCTCAGAGTATGCTCCATTTTCTGTGAGAAGCACTCCAAGTCCAGCAGCAGTTTGTCTATCTCCTCCTTGTCCACCTGACTGCATGTCTGGGCTCCTTTGGGGACACCAGCATGGGCACCAGGCAGCACAGGATCCGACACTGGCTTTAAAGGAACTGTGTTCTCAGGAGCATCTTCCACCCTAGCCCGCCCTGCTTTAGCATCAGTAGGAAGGTCTGCCCCAGCAGCTCGCTGGTAGCTGCGCTCCAGGCTCTGCCAGCCTCCCTTCTGCTCTGCCTTCTTCCCTGTCCCTGCCCTTCTGTCCCCATCAGACTCTTCCTCGATGTACAGTGCCTCGGTGGCAGATGTGCAGTCACAGGGGCTCAGGGTTGGTGACTGAGGTAGAGAATCTGTCACAGCTCTCACACTGCTCTCCTGGGGGACAGCGGGCAGGGAGCTGGAGGCGAAGCTCACAGTACCTGTTTGGATGGACTGGGATGTGCTTGTAACCTCACCCTGACCTGGCAGAATGAGAGGAACTGCACTTGAGGATGGCGACTGAATGATATCTTCATACCTGGGTGGCTGCTCATCACCAAATCCCGGGGGAAAGGGAGTTTGCTGTAAGCCATGGAAACAGTTCACCAGCTCTGCCCAGTCACTCKCTTCCCTCTGCCCTGCTGGCTTCAGCTCAAAGGGCAGCTTTTTCAGGTAGGAAGAAAAYCTTGTCATCAGATTCATGTATATCATCTCTGAATTAGCCAGAGGATCACTACTGTTTCCTCCACCAACGCCGTCTGCAGACTTCTTCTTGATGCAGTGTTTGATTATGTCTGTGCACTTTTTCAGATCYTCTGAGCACTTGAGCAAGATGTCCAGGCACACCTTAATATCCCCACCAGAAGAACCATCTAGCTTGTGTTTTTCTAAAATCTGGGTAATGAAGTTTTCTTCAGGGAAGGAATGAGGGGAGAAGGGAACCACAGGATTCATGGTGACTTCTGGAGCATCATTGCTCTCCTGCCATTTCTCCACAGGTGAAGGACTCTGCAAAAAGCTACACGGAGGGCAGTTCTCATCATTGTTGAGGTGCCCATAAATCAAGTCAAAATCAAAGGATCGTCTGCTGAAAGATTCTGACCGAACTTTCCTTCCCTTTCTGTAAGCCACATGACTGGAAGAGTTTTTGAGCTTTTCAAAGGAGAATTCCTTTATTTTACCACTGGCAAGGTTTATTGCCTCACCAGTAATGTCTTTTAAACTGCTGGAAGCTTGCACTGAAGAGCCCTTCTTTATTCTTGGATTATTTGGGAGGATGTGGTGATAGTCCTCATTTCCAGCCAAGGCAAGTCCATTTTCAGGAACGGGAATTTTATGGTCCAGGTTGGCATCTTGGACACTGAACTCCGCACAGATATTGTGGTGGGCAACTATGCAGGTTAGTCCTTGTTTGAGCAGCTGGCAGGAGCCTGTGCAGTAGTGCACAGTGCGCTGGGAGTGCTGCTCTATCACCACGCTGCTGTAGCAGTTCACTGAAGTCACCATCAGCCTGTAGGTCGCTGCCATAGCACACACCACGCTGGGATGCAATGCTGCAAAACTCACCATGAACTTCACAGGGAAAAGTTCACTTTTCACAGCCACACCATATTGAATGAAAACATTCAAATGTCAGTTGGAAACATCCAAAACCGCATGAAGAGCCTTGGAAAGCCCTGGAGAACTCTGGAGTGGTTTCAGCAGTACAGTTACAACAATTAGTGCAACTTGCATATGGTTTAACTGAAGGCACCCTGATGCTCATGCTCCAAGCAGAAAGCCTTGCTCAGCAGAGGTGCAGCATGAGCTGCTCCATTTCTAATGGTCTAGGTAGCTTCTCCAGCAGGGGCTAAAAAATCCAGCCAGTTCTTATGCAGAAGTGACAAGTCAACGACTTTTGTTTGACCCTCCTTCTATTTTTTTGGGTGGGTCAGTAAAAGGCAGATAATCCAATTGCACATGCAGACAAAAAATCCACAGTATGCTTGGGAGATTCCTCTCTCACAATGGTGATTCAGGTCCCTGCAACAGATATAAAGGTGACAGTCATTATGATTGCCATGCATTATGCAGCCTTACCTATACCAGACATTTGGCAGCAGTCAGAAGAACCATCACACAGGCCAGCACAGAGCAGGAAGAGGCTGATATTCTTCCTTTACTCAGATCTACATATAAGAACAGTGCTGAGGGGCTGGCCTATATTTACACACAGGCTATGTGCTGCCATTTTAACAGCTCTATTTTAGCCAATCATTAATTTTTTTCAGACTTGCTTTTTTTCTCCCCAGACCGAGCAAAACATTACTTTTAATTCTAATAGAGCAAAACATTTTGATCCTGTTGTGAATTTCTGCCTTTCATTTTCCAAGGCTCTAAAGATAAGGCAAAGGGCAGTAGAGAAAAGCACTTTCAGAATTTCCAAGATCTCTGGATTATAAAAAGCTGCAAAAGGCCTGCAGCAAAGTAGCTGAATGCCTCTAAGAATGCACAGTCTTTAGTAACAGSCACATTGGCTTCCATTAGCCTTCCACCAAGGTCCCTGGGACTATAGCAATATATCTTAAGAAGGAATAACTGTTTCTCTTACAACCCACAAATAGCAGCATATTTAATACAGTAAGTTCACTGCTGTAGACATGAAGGATAGCAAAATTTGTAAAAAGGTTAAGCCTATGAAAACTAGGAATTGAGTGTTTTACACATAGCACAGTCATTTCCAGCTGCATTTTCTATCATCATGGTCAGAACTGCACCAGAAAAACACCTAAAAACTGCTTAACTTTATTATGAAAAAAAAAATCTCAGATTTAAGGCTCTTGAATTTTAGACACAGACTCATCTTCCTTTACTACATGAACAATCAAATGAAAAGACCCAAATMAAATTCTGAGCACCCTGCATTGCTGGACAAACAGAAATCTATTTAATAAAATATTATTATATCACTCAGTTAAGTCACTCCACAGCACGGGTTTATTTTGGTTTCTTCAAAGGTAAATATCCAGCACTGTGAAAGGCCTGCACCTGATGAAAGCACTGCCCTGCACACAGTTCCATCCCACCAGCTTAGCTCAAAGCCTGGATAAACACAGCACACACAAGGCAAGTGCCCTAAGAGTTTGGTGCTGCTGTAATTAACAACCATGGAGAGCACAAGTCTAAACGTTCACATTTTACATATTTTAAAGCCTTAATTTAAAACTGAGAAGCACTGATTCAAGAGTGTTCAATGGAATTTGTGATGCACCATGTCTGCTCATTGCAGTTACGTGGAGTGGCAGGTAAAGAACCCTTCCTACTTTTTTCTCTGGATTATATAAAGCATTGAAACGATTGCATTCAAGATGAACAACTAACTGTCACGCTGGGCTCGGTAACAGGCTGCCACCTGCCCATCCCAGCCTCGGGCYAAGCAGCTCCTCAGCTGCTCCTGTCTTGTCCTGCTCCCCTCCACACCCACTGGCACTGCTCCAAAGCCCCTTCGGCACGGGAGGGCCCTCCCGAAGGATGAGC